GAATCAGGCTCAAGGTCTACAGAAGGAGGTAAAAGAGGGTCATCGGAGGGATTGAAATGACCTTTATAAGTGAAGAATAAAACTTCTTTTATTTTCTATGAATATTACACATCCAATACGACCTATTTATATTACAAAGAATGGAATAAAAAAGGAAGACTCCAATCTGTTAAATAAGGAAATAAATCATCTAACTAATAATCCTATAACAATCCTATCAATTATAATATTCTCTGTGTCTTTCCATAATCGGTTTTCTACACTCCCCCTCAAGTTGAACCATAGATGTTAATCAAGTTCAACTTGCAGCTGAAGGTATCAAAAACTTGTTTTGGTAGTCCTTTAGTGAAGATATCCGCAGATTGCTCCTTTGTAGGGACATATGTCATACAGATAATTCCATCTTCCACTTTCTCTTTGATAAAATGTCTGTCCACTTCTACATGTTTAGTTCTGTCATGTTGCACTGGATTGAGAGAAATGTTGATGGCTGCTTTGTTATCACAATAGAGTTTGATTGGAAGCTCAACCTTGATGTTTAGTTCTCCTAAGAGTTTCTTTATCCATAGTCCTTCACATATTCCTTGTGCGACGGCTCTAAATTTAGCTTCAGTACTACTTCTCGCCACTACATTCTGTTTCTTACTTCTCCAAGTTACCAAATTTCCCTAGACAAAAGTACAGTAACCAGTAGTAGATCTTCTATCTTCCGTTGATCTAGCCCAATCTACGTCTGTGAATATCTCTACTCCATTTCTTTTATTTTTTTCGAAGAATAGTCCTTTCCCGAGATTGTCTTTTAGATATCTCAATATTTTGTACACAACCTCCAGGTGAGCTTCTTTGGGAGAGTGCATACGTTGACTTACCATGCTGACTGCGAAGGCGATGTCAGGTCTAGTGTGTGATAGGTAGATCAACTTCCCAACAAGTCTTTGGTATCTGTCTATTTCCACTGAGTTACCGAAGTCCTTTGTTATTTTTCCTACCTCAATAGGTGTGTCGCTTGGTTTGCATCCTAGCATCCCAGTTGCAGTTAATAGATCGAGAATATATTTTCTTTGAGAAACACTAATACCCTTCTTTGATCTTGCAATCTCCATTCCTAAGAAGTATCGCATCTGTCCTAGATCCTTCACTTCAAATTCGGTGGCTAAGCATTTATTTAGTCTTCCCATTTGAATTATGTTGTCCCCAGTTAAGATGATATCATCAACATATACAATTAGAATTGTTTTTGCCCCACTTTAGACTGTTGGAAGAACATGGTATGATCTGATTGCCCTTGCTGATATCCTTGTTTTTTAATACTTTTGCAAATCTATCGAACCAAG